ATGGTTGTAGGGAAGAGAGAATCCCAAATCCGGTACCTGTTCTTTCTTACCCACCACAAATCACTCCAGTCTGGCAAAACCACGTTCTTCCACTGGTCTTGGGCACTTGAGAAAAGGGATCTCCAAGCAATGGGACAATTACCAAGTCTCCTAAGCTAGGACGTCGGACCCTTCGTTCTTCTCCACCTTTTGACCTTAACTCCGTCTTGCAGCCTGGAACCTCAGCAAAGCAATCGGCTTCCTCTGAGCCTGGATGCGGTGGATTGATGGAGGGACAGGTGGGGCAGCTCTGGGAGAAGGGGAACATCTACGTCAAACGTACAAATGCCCCTTCTTTTCCTCATGCCCTGGTTGAATCCAGAGCTCCTGGGGGCAGGCGGGAAGACTCCAGCTAATAGAAACTCTGAGGGTCTTAAAAAAAAAAAAAACAAACAAAAAAAAACAGGAAAAAAAAAGAAAAAGGAAAAAAAAGAAAAAGAAAAAAAAGTTGTCTGACCTTAATGGATATTTTTCAGCACATTCCCACTGCCTCTAACTAGTTTGCACTATTCAAATTTGTCAGCAGTGGGTCTGTGCTGATAGTACTAGAAAAGCTTGTTATAGGCAAAACTCATCTGCTAAGTATCTTTCTTCCTTTTTATTTTATTTTATTTCTTTTGTTTGTTTGTTTGTTTGGAAGATTGTCACCACAATGGTTGAATAAGGCTAAAAGGAGAGAAAATACCTTTCTGATCTCAGCCTCCAGTTCTGTGAACTGGGCAGAACACTGCTGTCTGCTCAGAAATATATATATATATTATATATATATATATAATTTTTTTTTTTTTTATAAAGAAAAGCTAATGTTTTAACAAGGTTAAGAAGCTATTGGAAAGATGGAGATGGCAGCTAAAAGTGAAAATGCAGGAAAAAAAATAAAGAAGTCTCCCTTCCTTGCGGTCTCTGCAGCACAGAGGCAGAGGGGCACTGACCCGCGGCTCCGGCTGAGGCGATCGCTGTCCCCGGCCACCTCACGGGCTGAGCTGTGCCACCGTCCACCCGCCCGGCGCTTCCGAAATGTGAACGACGTCTTTCAGTTGCAGTTGCCTGTGGCAGGGAGGTTGGAACGCGATGATCTTCAAGATCCCTTCCAACCTAAACCATTTGATGATTCTGTGAAATGGTTTGACTCTGATTTTGGCTCCCTCTCCCCAAAATTGCTCTGGCACAATTGTTTGCTTTCACTTTTTTTTCTTTTTTTCTTTTTTTTTTTTTTTCACCCTTCCCTCCCCAAGCTGCGTTGTCCCCCCCTGGGCAGAGGTGCCACCCAAACCGCCCCGGCACAGAGACCCTCCGCGCGGTGCAGGGTCCTGCCTCGCTGCCCCCTCCTCGCGGGGAGATGTCGCGGGCTTGAGAGCGACACGCAGAATGGCTCTTTCGGGGCTGCCGGGCCGGACTCGGCCCCGACGTGCCCTCTGTGGGCGCGCGGTGGCCACGTGCACGTGAAGGCTGCGCCTGCCAACCTTGGGCAAGCCATGGGCGCTTGGGATTTGGGAACAGACATTCCTTAGCGCTGGCTTGGGTCAGCAAGATGGTGGACAGAAGTGTTAGGGATAAAACGGCAGCCGTTAGATAGATGTGCAAGTGTGGTCCCTGCGGGCCGTTTGTCTGGCGGTTGATTTTTACTTTATTTTTTACTTTTTTTACTCTTAAGGTCCCCAATTTGCGTTGCCGCCTGTTTTGCTTTGTTTGACCATCAGCACAGCTTTCAAACCCGTCTCTAACCACGAGGGCTTGACGTTGTGTCCAAGACCTGGTGAAACTCTTCCAAAATTTAACTGTGTTTCACGCCCTGGAATTAGAAACATGCCAGTAGCCGGGGGAGAGGGGACGGGACGGGGGGAAGGCTGCTTAGCAGCTGTCCCTTGTGTAGCGAGTCGCGGTACAACACACATTGTCTCCCAGGAGAAACAAAACCCATGTCCAGATCAGTGGTTTGGTGCCCAAATCCCCGGGCAGGGGGTCGGTGAGAGGTAATTAGCGGTGAGTTCGCAGTGGGGAGGCTGAAAGGTGCCGTAGAGGGCTCCGTGCCGCTACTGGGAAAATATTTGGGAGCACACCCATCAGAAGAGGTTGGGAATCAAGGGCTGAACTCAAGGCGGGAGGTGGGCAGGCCGGATCGCCGTGAAAAGCGGGGAGGGCTGAGCCTCGCCGTGTCCCTGGTCCCCTCTGCCCTGTGCTGGCCGTGCCGTCGGTTCTCTCGGTGGCAGCAGTTTGAGTTTTGGGTTTGGGGCAGGGAGGGACGAGGCTGGAGAAGGACAAAGCGGCGCGAGAGCCCTATAGCACTTACACGTTTCTCTGACATCTTCCAAAGGCGCCCGGTCCCTTTGAAGTGCTCTCCTTGTCACCTCAACCTGTCCCAGAGCCAAAGGTCCCTTTGGCAGATTGAGGAGGGAAGAAAGGGGCACTGCTGGAAGGTTGACATTAACCGTTTGTATCTCTGTGAAAAAGAGGGAGAGAAGGGGAAAGTGAAAATAAAAGCTAAAGATTATCTGTGTTTCAGTTGCACTGGGGTACGTTTCTTTACCCGTTTTGATGCTAATGTCTCATTTAGTATGTTGCATGTGTCTTTTTTTGTTTTGATTTTTTTTTTTATTAAATAAAAGAGAAAAATGTGTATATTTTTGGCAATTTAAGGTAATGTAGCTAAGATATATTTTTTTCACGCTGCTTGACTGTTCTTTATTATAATAAATAATATTAATATTAATATCAAAGGCTTTTTTAATACAGCTGAGGTTTCAGAATTGGAATGAGAATAGGGTCTGTGTGAGGAACGTCCCGCGGCCGTGCTGAAGTCCTGCTGTCTGCAGCGCCGGGGGCTGCGCGCTGATGCTCTGCGGGAGGTGGGAGCCGGGCTGAGGGACCGTTCCCAGCCTGGCTCCTTCCCGGCTTTGCTCCGCAGGAGAGAAGGGACACCAGGAGCCGGGGAGGAGCGGTTGGTTGTTGTTCAGTAGCACAAAGGTGTCCTCCCCCCCCTCAAAGAACGAGCTCATGGGTAGAGATACCCAAACCCAAACTCGCTGACTGCGTGAGCTTTCCAGCCAAGTCCTCCCCACTCCCGGGAGTTCCTTTCTCCCAAGCACCGAAGGGAAGGGCTCCCGCTCTCTCCGGCTCTTCCTGCTTTGCTCTGGTTTTCCCCCAAACAGCCCTGCATAGCTGGGCGATGAGGTCTCTTCAAAATACGGTTTGGAGACATGTCCTGCTCTTGGGAAAACCAGCCCCCGCTCTCCAGCGCTCGGCTCTTAGATCTGGCTTGGCACTTTATTGGGTCATGCTTCAAAACCGCATGCTTTTCTGTCTCGTGGCCCACAGGCTCCGGGGCTCTGCCTTCTCCTTCTGCTTTTAAGTCAGAAGTGGGTTTTGTTGACCTTTTGTGTTTCCTCAGCCGCGTGTGCCCACGTCCCATCAGTGAGGTGGACCCGGCTTGTCCTCTGGCTTCACAGGGTCCTTGAAAAGGCACAGGAGAAGTTCTCCCCCAGCACCTCATTCTTCTGCAGAAGCTTTCTCTGTCGTACGCACCAGCAGGCAGCATTGCCACCTTGGGGGGGGCGGAAATTGGAAGCCAAAGACTTTGCCCAGGTTTCTCCAGGCGGCCCAAGAGCCATCAGGATGGGAGCGCAGAGCGAACTGCAGATACTGGAGTTGACAGTTTTATCTGTAGGAGTGGGTTTGGTCACTCAAGGGGTCATCCAGGGGAAGCAGAGTTTGGCAGGCAAAGGCTGGTCTTGCAGGGTTGGGTCATCAAACGCTCTGGGTCGTTGGAGGAACCTTTCAGCTGTTTTTTGAAGGGAAAAGGAGGTTTGGTGTCTGGTTCCGAGGACTCGGTTGCTCTCTGCAGTAGCTGGTGGCTGCGAAGTCTCCTCTTCTGCGCCTGTCCGTGGTTAGTGCCGGGGCGCGGGCTGGGGGGGGGCAGAGAAGCAGCGGATGCCTGAGGAGCACCAGGGTCGTAGATCCAGTTCTGCTGTGTTTCTTGAAGCCCTGAAATAGGAAAAAGAAGACGAATATTTCCGCAGAGTTATGTTGGCTTGTTCCTGGCGTGGCTCTCCTCTTTGGGGGACTGGAGAGACACAAGAGGAAGGCGCTGGGCAGCGTTCAGTGGTTTTGTGCCCAACGAGCAGGTCATGGCATCTTCCTGGACCAGGATAATAGGAGAAGCGCGGCTGTCCGAGCAATCCTGCGCAGGGCCCCTCTCTTCCACAGCCCTTAGATCCTACTCGCTCCTCTCCAGGTCTCTCCCAACCGGTCACCAGTGTCCCCTGGATGCAGCTCTTGTATGACCACGGGCTCCCTCAGCCCTGGCACTCGCTGGACTCCGCAGACCCTTGTTTTTCTCTCCGCTCCCACACCGGCACACGTGCTCTCGCTGCGAGCCGGCTGCCCCAGCGGGATGGAGCCGGTTCAGACTCCGGCACCATCCCTGCGGGCTGCGGGGGTGCAGATGGCTTCAGCCCCTTGGCGCTCTACCAAAGACAATATAGACATAGATGAGGTCTTCTCACGTGCTCAGTAGAAGACTCCAGAGGAGACATACCAAGCGGATGGTGTCATTCTCTTCGGGGTGAAATGTTCAGGCGAGTTGGCAGGGCGAGAGGTGACCGATGTGTCTGAAGCGAGCGGGGCTCCAGTGCGCCGCGGCGCTGGAGCGCGTCCCTCGGGAGCTCCGAACAGGCGGCAGGAGCTTGGCGTGACCGGCGGGTTGGCTCTAGGACACAGAAGGTTTCCTGCTGCAGAAAGGGAACGTCTGCCTGGGGGCATCTCTGTCCAGTGCAAGTCCATCCCGTGGTCTGAAGTGTCCTCCTGTCCCTGAGACCCCTTTGAAGGACGGCGTAGCCGGGGCTCACGTCAGGGGCCAGCTCTCTGCCGCTCCAGAAACCTTTCAAGTTAAAGCCTGGTTTGTTTGCACAGCCCTCTGCAGCGCATGCATCGCCGCGTCCAGATGGAGATAAGGGCTTTGCTCTGCTTTGTGTTTGCCGTTAAGGACACCCGTGTCACCCGTCAGGTCCCAGCCCGGAGGGGCCGAGCAGACAGCCCTGCGCCCAGAGTGGTATTTCAAGGGCTCTCTTCCAGCCCGGCCAGTCCGTCAGCGCTGGCGGCTCATGCCGCTCTGTTATTTACCGTTGCCCTTGGCGTACGCTGTGCCGCGCGGTTTCCTAAGCCCACATAAGTAAAAATAATCAAGTGCCTGTGATCAAAACAGCCTCGAGGCAGGGAGCGGAATGGGTCCCCGGTGCCTCTCCTTTCTGCGTTTAGTCTAAGAAATGGAGTTGTCATAAAGGCTGTGGATGTCACCTTTGCAGGAAAGGGTGAAGTAGCAATAATTTTAAGAGTAACTTCGCAGCAGCAGGTCTGAAACTGCAATTCCAAGCTGTCTGCTCTTCTCCTGTTTTCCAGATGGGGAAGCAGAGATGCGGAGAGGACTCGTTTGCTCAGGAGCCACATCTCCTGCGCTTGGGTCTGCGCTTGGGGCTTCCCTCCCCTGCCCAGAGAAGGGACCCCACCTCTGCGGCACCCACCCGTGGGAAGCATGGGCATGGCTGTCCCGTGTGGTTTCGGTCCTGCAGCGAAACTTCTCAGGACCGTGGGGTGCAGAGACGCCCGAGGGCTGATAAGGTTGTGCCGGCCCTTCTGGTCCCTACAGCGGTGTCCCACGGGCACAGCCCCGCTCCCGCTGGGACCTTCTGTGCCCTCCGGGCAACTGCCGCTGTGTGGGGCAGGTGGAGCCTTTCCTTTAGCTCCGTGGGTTTGACGTGAGGACCCTCGGCACAGAAAATCCCCTCCCAACCCACCGCTGCCTCCCCCGGGACACCAGACCCGGGGCACCGCAGCGGTGGGGGCTGCGGAGGACAGACGGGGGCAGATGGGTGGGAGCAGCAGCGTGACAAGGAAAGGTTTGGGGTTTTTTTTGCTGGTGAGACCTTTGGTGAGGTTGTGGCCGGAGGAAGGGTTTGGTTTGGGCTCAGCCGAATCCGCATGTCCCCATTTCCCCCTTCCCTCCCCGCTGTACCCGGTGGAGCCGCTCTGCGTGGACGGGGTCCCCCCAACCCATCGCCCCCATGCTGGGGTAACGCCTGGCCTGATGGAGGGAGGGAAGTTTTATGTGGGGGTTTTTTAGCTAATATTTCAAAATTTATCAGAATTTGAAGAAATTGTTTTGTGCTACCGGTGGTTGAAAAGTGGGAAAATAGAAAGACTCTGTTTACTTAACGATTCTCATTTTAACTTTGAAGTCATCAGTATCCTGCCCGGCAGCGCCGGGAGGGGACTGCGCTCCAAATTCCGTGTGACATCACAGCTGAAGGGTAAAGTGCAAATAACCCCTCCGGGGCCTGGTTTGTATTTTTAATTTAAGCAGCAAATGCAGAGTTTTAGCACCTGCCCGGGCTGCAGGGAGCCTCCGCTGAGGCCCGGCCGTGGATGCAGCCTCCGCCAGATGGTTTAATCCAACGGTGCCTGCGGACCTAGAAGCCGCAGTGGGGCAGGAGGGGCCACGGGTCGGGCTGAGGGTGTCAAACACAATGACCGGTTGGGGACAGGTCCCTGCGTGGCCGCGGCCTGGGGTGCGCATGTCCCTCGGTACCTGTTTGGTACCCCGGAGGATGCGGGGGCCGTCCCTGTTCAGCCCCTGCCCACGAGCACAGATTGCAGAAGGATTTAAGCACATCCTCGGAGTCACAAGGGCTCAGGGGGCCAAAGGGGCCCGTGGAAAAGGGATGAGCATGAAAAGAGAGCGGGGAGAGAAGTGGCAAGTTGGAAATACAGGAGCACAAACATATAAGCAGATATTTGTATGGTTGTTTGGGGTTTTTTTTCCCCGAAGAAAACCTTTTTATTTGACAACTACACAGGCAGATTTGTAGCTGGGAACGTGTGTACTTTCTTACACATTTGTAGCACTGCCGTGTGTCGGCATCTTCCACACTCGCTGCGGGAGGCTCAAGGGGAGGACACTTTCCATTTTAATTTCTTCCTAAGGACAAAACCCAATTCAGGTGCTAAAGGCAGCAGCATCTCTTAGAAAACTGCTCCTGTTTACCCTCCCCCTACCTTCAGCGGGAAAGGCGGTCCGTGAGCCTCGTCTTCTCTCCATTATCTATAACGCAAATATAGTCTTTGTATCATTAGTGTATTTGTACAACTAAGAAATTGTTGCAGCCCGGGTTCCTTTTATTAAAAGAATGTTTTCCAAAAAATAAAAAGTGGGCTAAAAAGATCCGCTCGCGTGTCTGCTCGTTTCCTCGGCGTTGCGGACAAGGCGCGATGCTCCGTGGCGCTCGGCGTGCGGGGGGAGCGAGCTTACGTGAGCGCGGCAGCTCCCAAACCACTTGCAGACCACCGGTAACGCGGCAAAACCAACCCACGGCGGCAGCGGGGCTGCGGGGCAACATGAAACGGGGAATTTACACCTCCCTGGGTGAAAAACTTGCGGAGGCGGATGTTTGGATGTCTCCACGTAAAGCTGTAAGTGGAGGCACTGGACCTGGGGCTCGAGGTTTGGGGGTCTCTGCCTGGAGGGGAGTTTTGTCCCCCTGCCCCGGGGTCGGCAGCGCTGGGGGGGGCGTGAGAAAGGCAGAGAAAATGGCCTTGGGTTGGGTTGGGGGTTGGGTTGGACGTTGGGCTGAACCTCCGCACGCGGTGCCCGGATCAGCCCCTCACCCCCGTCGCGCCGGGACGTGGGGACGGTGGGGGCTGCCCGTGGGTATCCCCCAGGCAGGACGGGCGGG